AAGGCTTTCTTCTACAAGAAGCTGCTTTCAGACAGTTGAAGCAGACAAGCAGGGGAAGTGTCTCTGTACCTTGCAATATCTTTGGCAATCTGCTCGTTGAGACAGTTGACGAAGGCAATGGAGTGGGTCCCCGAGACGTAGCTGCCGGTGACGGCGGAGTGCAGCTGCAGAGCGAGACCCCTCAGTACCGGGTACATCAGCAAAGACAGAGTCACCACCTCAAATGCAAAATATATGAGTGATGATGTTAGGTGAAATATTACAGTTTGTAAAACTAAGCATTTACATGATCTGTGGCTCGGGGGAAGTCTCCAGTCTGCTTTCTTTCACAGTAAAGCTAATTGTAATTTAAGTGAAAACATGTTCATAGGGAGATTCATTCCCCTCCAACAGGGCCAACCGCGTACTGTGGCAAGCGCTCGGGGCAGGGAAGGGTCCATTTTCGAGGCTGTACCTGCCCAGAGGTGCCCAGACCTGTGCTGCGGGAGCTCACACCCCGGACCACCGAGGGCTGCAGACCCCACTGCACAGCTTCAGCAGCCAGGACTGGTTTTCCAAAGAAGAATAAGGAGGCGAAGTCACCGATTGTCTCTGTTAAAACAAATTTCTGTTGCAAAAAGGGGAGAGAATGGAAGCACCAGGCGTGGCTCCCACACCGAGCACATCTTCTTCCCTGCTGCGGAGGCATCCTGCAGCCACCCTTGGGCTGTGGGCCCTGGGTGAGGCATGCCCACCCCTCCGGGACGGGACCCTCTGCCTCCCCGGGGACGGGGAAGGGAGGAGAGCAGTGTTCCAGGCAGGGTAGGGATCTGGCCATGGCAAACAGATTTAGGCTGGAGCCTGGTGCGGGACAGAGCCCCAGGAAGCCTGGGGTAATACAGTCTGTGCTGGGACCGTCAGCTGCCCTGCCAGCCCAGGACGATCGCTGTCTTCTGCTGACAGATGTTGTGCAGCCCACGCAGGCTACGATACGGGCTCGCACAGCAGGCAAGGGGGAATAAGACTTCAATGCAGGTTTTAAGTTCATTTCATCTTAATTATCTGATACTAACAGGGTGGTGAAACCGGATCCTTTCAGGCACAGAAATCCTAACGGACACAGCCCAGGTCTGCAGGGCTGTCTGGGTCCTGCTGGGCTCTAACCCGCTCTCTGTGGCCTGGCAGCGCAGCGGCAACAAGTTGGTTTTGCTGTACATCAGCTGCTATTCCTGGCAAGCCCCTTAGCTGCTCTTTGTGCTCACATGCCATAAACACAGTCACGTAAAAATATATAATTATCTCAGCAGGGCCGCTGCGGGAATAGCAAGGTTAATTTGGTGCGCTGAGTAAGAGCTGGAGGATGGTGCTCGTCGCCGGGGCAGCAGCGCTCGCCATCTCCGCACGGCTGCTCTTCCCTTTGTCTTTTGTCTTGTTTTTGAAATAAACAGCATCTGGCCCTTATTCAGCTACAGTGGTAAAAAATGCTTATAGACTAAGAATATATTCCTTTTTCCCTCTTATTTCCACCCTCCTTTGTCCTCTGAAAAACCTCCCACTACAGGGCTACAGGGCCACAGGGCCAATGTTAAAGGTTTTTTTTTAAAAAGATTGAAATAAAAAAATCTCTCTTGTCACCACAAAGGCAGGAGCTCCTTTCTGTTTGAAAAATGACTGATGTGCCGTATTGGTTGTCTCCTCTTTTCCAATCCATTTGAGGAAATATTCTTCGTTAACACAAGGTTTCTCTAATAATTTTTAGAGCTTCTTTTGTGCTCTTTTTTCCACTAAGCCATTTAGCAAATATTACGCAACAAATCCCACAAGCTACTCAGATAGTTACAAGCCAAACAGAGATATGCTGGTGTATCTATTTTTCCAGATTAGAACGTAATCATGCTCCCTGCTCAGGAAAAAAAAATCCAACCTGTTCAGCACGGCAATGATTAATCCTCTTGGAAGATGTATGTGCATGTGACGAGGAAATCCCCACAAACACTTGTGACTGAATATTAGCACAAGAGTGACCATCCTCTCGTTTTTTTCAGTCTTTTCCCTCTATTTTTATTCCTGAAAGATAAAAGCCTCCTTTTTTTTTTCCCCAGAATAATTGTTATTTGCTGAGTGATGGTGCAAAAGTGAAGGAGTGAGACTCCAGCATTCCTACCTGATAAACCGAATAAACTCCTGACTGCCAAAATGCTGAGGTGAACAAAACTGAAAAACCTGCTGTCTGATTTTAACTGTTTCACTGTAAAGCACCGACCAGCAAAATGACAGTCGTGTTTAGAGAGACTAAGACTTCTGCAAGATTTGTTTTGCCTTTGGTGAACTAAAAATAGCTTTGGGGTTTAAAATTACCAGGTTCGGACTTTTTGCCTAGTTTTGATGAGGTTCTGTATAAAAAAACCCCAAGCAAGCACAACTTGTGGCAACCCCGAGCAGGCTGCGAGCTTCCTCAGCGCAAGCGGAAAAAAACTCCTCAGCAATGTGCTTTGCTCTCTGCAGAGACTGAGAATACATTCCTCCTGCATGATCTTTGTTTTGTCCTGGGTTGTTTTTTTTTGCAGAGGTTCCGTTATAAAGGTACAGACGGAGGCATTTCCACGGCTGCCCCGTTTGCCCCCGCCACGCTCCCCAGGGTGTCAAACCCGTCCCCCGTCCCCAGCACGGAGCCAGCCCTGGCAGCGCCGGAGGGCTCCCACTTACCAGCAGCAAGGTGCCACGGCCCGGCCGGGGACAGCCCTGGGCAGCGGGCAGGA